ATATCCTGTGCTGGGCACACCTCCCCCCCCCTTCCTCTGCCAACCTCGTCCTCTTCATCCTTTTCCCACCATCATTTCCCCACATCCTGCTGGTCCTGACGCAGACCAAGGGCCCTGGGCCACAGGTTCTTATCCCTCCCCACCAGGCACAGGCCCAGGACACACACCGAAGACCAGACCGGAATTCCCGCTGCATCTTTGTTTGAGGAGAAATACTTTGGGTTTGAGTCACTGGCACTGAAAAAAGCCTAAAACCCCCAGCTGGCCACATCCGGCAGCTTCTGCTCCGAGCTTTGGGCTTTGGGATGGGGGTGGGGCTGAGGCTGTGTTGACCACACTGCTGGTGGGGGTGGTTGCAGGGCATAGAAAGCCCCTACCGTCCCCCGGGGGTGACTTGGCTAAACTCGCAGGACGATGAGGAAGGCTAATTAATAATCACCACCGTCCCCTGCTATGTTTGGGCGCCCACCAGGTGCCAGACCCAAGCCGCATCATCTCCTTCAGGGCTCAGAATAGCGCAGTGGAGAGTAGTGGGGACTGTTAATCTCCCCATTTCAGAGATGAGAACACTGAGGCTTGGAGCTTGAACAAGGTCTGGGGGAGCTGGGACTCGAACCCAGGCCTGTCTGAGCTCAAAGCCCATCTCTGCTCTTTGTATTGCCAAGAGCCCCAGGATGCTGGGCATACAGGCTGACCCTACCCCCTGGGGGCTGGCTTTCGGGCTGGGAAGACAAGCAGCGAGCAAAGGTCGTGTGCCCTGACGCCAGTCCACATGGGTTGGTGCTGGTGCAGCCACTATGTCCGAGGGACAATTCTTCCTGCTTCATATGGGGGGACATTAAGGCCCAGAGAAGCCCAGAGAGTCAGGGCAGGCCATGGAGCAGGGGATACAAAGCATGTGGATGAAATTGATCAACTGGAGTCGACCCCAAGCTCTGCCACTTGCCAGTAGGTAACTTTGGCCGAGCGACTTAATCCTTCTGAGCCTCAGTTTGCCCATCTGTCAAATGGGCACAAGAATAGTCTCTCCCTCATGTAGCACTGTAGGATCACCTAGGTGAAGCCCTCAGTCTATGCCTGGCACCTAGGGGGTGCCCAGCAGGTACAATTATTCTATAGCTGCTTGATGCCAGGAGGGGAGACAGCTGGTAGACACTGGCTCTTGGGTCTCCTGCCCTCAGCGGCGGGCAGGCTCCCTCTCTAGCAGAAGCAGCCTTTCTCTGGAGCCCAGAATCATGACTGGCTGTCGGTGTGACGTTATGATAATCCTATCACCTCTCTGAGCCTCCGTTTCCTCATCTGTGAAATGGGTTGGCAATGAGGACTAGGAATACTGGATGTGCCTTCTTAGCCTGCTGGCAGGCGCAGAGCAGGTGCTCAAGACATGGCAGCTACAAGAGTGTCCCTCCCCTGCCTGCCACTCACGGTCCAGAGGTGACGATGAGGCTGCGCACTCCGTCGAAGCCGCGGTCTCCCGGGTTCAAGCACTCCCTGGAGAATTCCACCTGGGGGCCCTGGAAGTTCTCCAGCTCAAAGACCACCAGCTGGAGGAGAGAAGCCCCCAGCCCGGGGCGGGGGTGGGGTGGGGCCGAGTGAGTGGGGAGGAGAGTCATGAAGTTCCCATAGACGTGGAAGCAGGTCTCATGAGAGTGTGGCCGGAGCCCAGGTCTGTGAAATGACTCAGCCGTCCCTCCTCCCACCACCGTTAGCAGCTGAGGGTCCTCCTTCAAGGCCTTTATCTGTGCTGTCCCTTCCGCCTGGAACGCCCTCTCCGCCACACACCCCCATCCCAGAGCTCACGTTCCCTGTCCTGTTTCAGGCTCAGACGTCACCTCCTCCAGGGAGCCTTCCCTGATGCCCTCCCCTTAGGTGGACTTGGCTAGGTGCCCCCTCACTGTGCTCCCTCCATCAGCGGTACCAGGAACACACAATACAATGACACTGCTTCCTGTGTCTCTCTATGCACCGTCTCCCTCTTTCTTCAACCTCCTCCCCAAAGTCCAAGGGCATCTCCAGGGCAAGATGTGGTTGGTCCATTTCTGTATCTCCAACTCCAGTCGGTACCTGCCACAGAGCTGATGCCCAGGAGACACGGGACCGTCTCCCTGGCACAACGTAGGAGGGCCCGGAAGCAGGACCCCCCACCATGTGAACATCGGCGACTCCCCTCCCCTCACCCAGCCCCCAGTTTTGTTTATTATCCACTTATTGCCCCAAGTGGGCCATTCCCTTGAACGAAGACAAGTGTCTTTTTTCTCAGAGCCTCAGTTTCCCCAGTTGTAGAGGGAGGAGGCTCTTGTACCCTTGACTTAGCACTTGTCCACCCGAGAGAAACTCCCGCTGCAGGACACCCAGATAAGAACATCCTGTCCATGCCGCTTCCCGGAGGAGAGCTAGCAGCCACCCGGATGGCTCCCGGGAGTGACAGCCACACTGAATTACACCCGGCGGCCAAACCAACGGCCGCAGCAACGCACAGCCATACGGACGGCTGTACAGGAACCTCAGAGTGAGCGCAAAGCAGAGAGAAAACCCCAGAATGAACACATACGGCCTATTTCTGTACGTGACCAACACATAACCATCCACAAATGTTTTAAAGGAATAACGCCTCAAAATACACCAAGAAGCGAGCAAGCACAGGACGGACAGGGACCCGAGCAGGGCAGGAGGGCAGTGGGCTGGCTCCCGGGGGACATGGCAGAGTTAGCGGATGTTTACCAGGTCCCGGCTTTCAAGACGGGGGGTGGGTGTGCCGGGGTGTGTGTTTAAAAATGAAATAAAAATGTACGGCTTGGTAAGTCACTGCGGTAAAAGCCGGCCATGCGCAGACCACATGAGAGGGCGGCATGGACCACGCACCAAGGTGGTGAACCCGTTCTGTGCACCTGACATCGAAACCAAACCCGACCAACCCCGGGGGACCGGTGCCGGCCCGGCGGCCTGGGACCCTTCTCAGGAGGGTCTGAGGCCGTCCCGGGGCCCTAGAGAACCTCCGGGGACAGGGGTTCCCGCTGCCGAGCCAGCCCACGTGTCCCCTTGTTTCGTTTCTTGCTTTCACCAACGCTAGACACGCGCTTGTGTGGGTCAGAGACTGGCAGGAGGAGGGGAGGAGGTGTGTGTGGAGGGGAGGGGGGCGGGGGGTGGAAGGACGGGGTGGACACCAGAAACCCCAGACACCCCAGCCCCAGGTCCTTACCCGGTAGCTCCCAGGGGCCAGGTGCCCCACTTTGGCGGTGGGCATGGGCACGGATGCTGGGGCCAGGGTGGGGCCGGGATCTGGGGCAGGGCCTGCGGGCGGGACCCCTTCACCTTTCTCTGGGGCACTGGGTTCCCCACAGCCGCTATGGAGGCCCAGGCCAGCTGAGACATGGCTCCCACCTGCCAACGCCTGTAAAGAAACCTCTGGCCTTGGTGAATGCCGGGCGGGCACCCCCAAGCTGCCTCCCCACTATCCTACCCGCCTCTCGACCCTGTGTTTTCAGGCTGCTTTCAAGTCATTTCTGCCTTTTCTCTTTCTAAGACGTGAGCCTGGACGGGTTCTGGCCTGACCTCCCGCCCCAGGCAAGGCTATCCTGACTGGGCACCTCACACCCCTGATATGCCTCCTCCAGGCCACGAATGGGGCCGGTCCCTCCACCAGCCGTGCCCTTCCTTCTACCCCGATCTCCTCGACACCTGTGGGTTTTCGCACTTATCACACTTCTTGGCGTGTGCAGCTTCAAGCTGCCTCACCAGGTGAATAACAGGAAGCCACATTGGGGAGGCCTGCAGCTCTGCCAGCAGCTCTGCTGTATGTGGTAATGAGCTCATCTGTTCTTCCCCCTCCCTCTCTGCCCCCCACCCCCCCAGCAGGTGCTATCTTTCCCCCCTCTGAGCACTCTGCGGCCCAGAGAGGGAAGGGGACCGGCCCAAGCCCACACAGCCACGACATGGTGGGCCTCCCGTTTGAGCTCAAGCACAGGGATCCAGCAACAGGGTTACAAAATGCTCGGCCGTTTTCTTAATCTGATGCATTCTCCCCTCCGTCCCCAGCACGGGGCTGAGCCCCTGGCCAGCGCAAGGTTCTCTTCGAACATCTGTTCAGAGAATGAATGACAGCGCGTTCCTGCCTCCCTTCCCAGGCAAACTGCGGCCTCAGGCATTCTCTGGGAATGAGTGTGTGGGTGCAGGCTGGGGCCTGGGCCTGGGGAAGAGGGAGGCCCCTGGAGGGTGTCTTCAGCGACCGCGGGTTTCTAAAAGGAGCCTTATGGCGCAGAGGCGGGGGGGTGGAGAGCGCTCTGGTCAATAGCAGTGGTTCCTTGCTGTTTCGGGGTCAGGAGTTTTGACAAATACCTAATCCTAGACACCAGGGGGGGAGAGCGCCCCCCTTTAATTTTAGAGACAATGTCCAGGGATTTGAGGACAGCCTGACACCGTAGATTGAGACCCTGGGGTCCAGGGGGTTGCAGACCGCCCCCGTACCCCACCCCCCGCCTCTCTGGGGTACTGCTGCCCACCGTGGGCAGACCAGACATCTGGGCCACATCTGTGGCTTCCCAGGCTCCGGCCTACTCCCCTGTGTCATCTGTGAATCAACAGTCCCTGGGCTGGGAGTTGGACTCATTCCTCCCTGGAGATACATTCCTGTCCATTTCCTACCTCACCGTCCCCGGGCCCCTCCCCTCTGGGTTCTTGCTTTCTTTGTATCTGTGCCTAGCCCTCTGTTCTCTATTACTGCATTTTCTTCTCTCTCTTCTCCTCCCTCCTGCTCTCCCCTTCCCTTAATTGCGCTCGCTCGCTCTCTCTCTCTCTCTCTCTCTCTCTCTCTCCTAGGACTGCTCTCTCTGCCTCCTTCCCTCTCGGCCTCCTCTCTCTTCTCCCCTCCCCTTCAGCTCTCAGCAGGTGGTGGGTTCCCTCGTATGGGGACCTGCTACCTCCTGCTGCGGGACAGGCAGCTGGGCGGTGGGTGCTGTGGGCCCCTCGGGGCAGACCCCCCATTTTATAGTCTGGCAGACAGCGGCCTATGGTCTGGGGGCACAAAGAGGAGCTGGCTCAGCAGGCCCCGGGCACTGAGCTGGCCCGAGGCTGCAACCTCGCCTGGGTGGACTGGTGAGAGAAGCACTTTCCATTGTGAGCCCAGCACGCGGGCAGAACCCTGATCAGCAGGGGTGTCACCTGGTCCTACACTGATGCCCCGCGCTAAAGCCCCCACCCGGTGGGCCCCCCACTGGCTGCCAACCCTCAGGCAGGGAAAAGGGGAGCCCCTGGAAGGTGGGAGACCAGGACCTGAATCCTGGCTCAGCCACGAGGTGCCCTGTGGCTTTCAGCGGGTCTCTGGTCTCTGGAACCTCTGTGACCACAGGGACAGGCAGGCACAGTGTCCCTGCTGGATGCTGAACAGGAAAGAAGGCGATGATGACGCAGGTGATGGGAGATGCCTTGTAAGGCAGATAATGGTACAAGGGCCACAAACCCCTCACCGAGTGCTTGCTGGGTGCTAAACGCAGCCCCAAACGCCTTTCCCCGCGCCATCTTGGTCAATGCTCAGGACAGCGCGCCTTACTTGGTACTTTCATTATACCCATTTCACAGATGAGCAAGGCGAGGGCACAGAGAGGGCAGAGCCAGGAAGCGGCCCAGGCAGGGGGGCCTGCAGGCTTCATTCTCATGATGTCTGACCTGGGCCCTGGCTTGATTTCCTGCTTCTAGACAGAGGGCGATTGAGGGGGGGGTGGGAGGGGCGGGCGGGAAGAGTGGTCCCTGTGCTCAGTGGGTTGAGTATTTATTTATTTTTTAAAAATATGTTTTTATTGATTTTAGAGAGAGAGGAAGGGAGAGGGATAGAGAGATGGAAACATCGATGAGAGAGAGAGACATCAATCAGCTGCCTCTTACATACCCTCTGCTGGGGATCAAGTCTGAAACCCAGCCATGTGTCCTGACCAGGAATTGAACCAGAGACCTCTTGGTTCATGGGTCGATGCTCAACCCACTGAGCCACACCAGCCGGACAGTGGGATGAATACTTAAAGCCTGGGTCCCGTTCCTCAGCTCACACAGACCCCAGGTTCCTCCCCCGACTTTTTCCTGATCTGCCTATAGGCTCTCTCTCCTCCACATTTGGCTCCAGGGACAGAGCTGGCGGCCAGGAATCTGCCTGCCCATCACGGAGCTTCCTCGGGGAGACCTCAGCTCCACCACACCGTGCTCACCCCTGGGCCCCGGCACCCAGCACAGGGCCTGGCACGGGTGGGTCTTTGATCTCTTTGGGGGTGCTAAATGGTCCCAGTGGATCATAATGGAAGGTGGGGTACAGGGGGAGGTAGGGAAACCGAGATGGGGAGAGAGAAGGTGGACACTGATTGGAAGAAGTGGAGAAGGACAGAGAAAGATGCTGGAGACAGAAATACAGCCGGGGGTCGGGGGGTCGGGGGAGGGACCAGATAGTGAAGGAGAAAGAGAGGGGTAGAGACAGGGTCAGGACAATGGGACAGTTACCAGAAGTCATAGCGTCCGCTTCCCTCATTTCACAGATGGAGAAACCAAACCCATGGAGAACAAGTGACTTCAACAAGGTGGCCTGGTGTGACTCACAGAGGAACTGCTGAGCCAGGCCAGCCTGCTGTCTTGCCTCCAGCCCCATGTGGGCCTGGGGGAGAGGGGCTTTCCCGGGGTCTTGCCCCCCCTGCAGAGGCCCCGGGACCCACATTCCCCTTGGAGCCCAGCTCTGCCTTGAGATCACGGTGGCCTTGGGCCTGCTCGGCTCTCCCCCAACCCCCCGCACCCCCTCTGTCCCAGGTGCTTCCTCCGTCTTTCATCCTGGGCCAAGGCCCGGGGGGGGGGGGGGGCAGGCAGGAACCACAGGATAGAACAGCCACTGGAACGGGGCCAAGACACATGGGTGGTGGGGGCCACCCACAGCTTTGGGCTTCAAGGCCAGGCTGTCTGGCACGGTTCCCTGTCTCCCGTGGCGATGGGGCTGCCTGCCAGAGGGTGGGCGCAGAGGTGGGGGTTGGCCCCCCATGTCCGGGGGGCTCCATCCTGAGCACTTTTCTGACGTGGCTCTTGGAATCCGCACTGCGATGCCGGGGTCTCTGGGATCCGTCCTGTTTGCAGACGGGGAAACCGAGGCAGCTCGCTCTCCCCTCTCAGCCTCTTTGCTGTCTGTACAAGGGAATGGGGAAGCCATGTCTCTAACTCCTGGACCAAAGCTCTGAAAACCATGCACTTCCGGTTTTCTATGAGTAATGACTTCATCACGATCATGTCGATGATTCGCAGTGATGAGGATGACAATGATGATGGAGGCGCAGAGCACTTCTTAGGTTCCAATTGCGGCTCATGTGTATTTCACGTTTCCCCTCACTATACCCTTATCTCTGAGGCGAAACCAAATTACTTTGTTGCACCCATTTTACAGACGAGGAAACTGAGGCTCGGAGGGATTAAGGAACACGCTCAAGGTTTCCCAGCCAGCAAGAGGGGGATGGAAGCCAGGCAGCCTGGCTGCGGAGGCTGCGTTCTCGGCCTTTTATCTTTAAGGCCACCCTTCATCCGAGTCACGCACTTGACGGGGCTCCTTTTAATGGAACCCTCCCAGGGGGACACACGTTGCCACTTTGTAGGCCCCTGGCTGAGGACAGACACCCACCAGGTCACCCAGCTGTTCAGAGGCAGGACTGGTCTCTGCCATGCTCTTCCCGGCGCTGTGACAGGCCCCTTTTAGGTCACATCAGAGTGGGAAGAAGGTGAACAAAGCAAATTCTACAAACCCTGGCTACGGTTTGCAAGGCGTGTTCGCACCCGCCAGCTCCTTCATCCTGTCCGCAGAGCCACCTGAACTTCTCTCTGGGCTTTGCGGACCCTGGAGGCCCTGGCCCAGCCCACCTTTCCTGCCTGGCTCCCGTTGCTCCAGTTCAGGGTCCCTGAGCTCCAGCCCAGTCGGGCTACCAGCTCTTTCTCACACACTGGCTTAGAAAAGTATTTTCTTCCATCTCACTTTGTACACATCCTCCTCACAGAGTCTAGTTTCAATGCCGCCTCCAACAGGAAGCCTGCCCTGATTGCCCCTTCTGCAAGAGGAAGGGAGAAAGGTATGGGCACTTGTTGAATGTATATTGTGGTTGGCACGTGACATAACATCACAACACCCCGGTGATGTAGTTTATTCGTGTCCTGTTTTATAGTCAGAAACGGAGGAGAAATGACCTGCTGCCGGTCACACGGCTAGGAAGGACCAGGTTTTTGGACTCCTTGTCCAGTGCTCATTCTCCTGCTCCAATCAGGGGTCCTATGGCGCCGATGAAGGCTGGCCTTCCTCCGCGTGCCTTCTTTGTGGCTGATCCCTGAGGGAGGCCACCTGCCCCTCTCCCTCCCAGCCAATGATGCTGACACCTCTCCACCGGGGCTTCAGCCAGGGCTGCCTTTTGTGCTTGCTGCTCCCCTGCTGAGTCGGGGCCTCGTGTCCCGGAGGCCCTCACCCCTCCCTGCCAATAAGAGCCCGACCTCGGCTGGTCCCAGGCCTGGCGTGTTCTGTGGGTCCGTCTCGGTAAGTCCCAGGCCCGGAGAAGGAGTGGCATTCGAGCTCTGAGTGAGTATCCTGGGAGGAAGGGGAGCCCAGGTCCCCAATCCTGGAGACATCACTGCGCCATCCTGTGTGTCTTTCTCCTCCTAACCCCGGCCGGGCCCCAGGCATCAAGCCTAGTACCTGCTCCCCTCCCTGGAAACAAAATTATTCCTGGAGTCCTTGCTTCAGTGTCCACCGTTCGAGTCACCTGTGTAGGTCAAATGCTGTCTTAGGGAGGCTCTTGTAAGCTGGGCACCTTGGCACTTGCAGGGGGATGGGTTCACCCCCTGCCAGCCACAGAAATCTCCCAAATGGGGCTCAGAGGCACGGGGACCCAGAGCGGGGGTAGGGGCTTTGAGACGATGAGAGGGAGGAAGCACAGGAGAAGGGACTGGCCACAGATGGAAAGGGAAGGAGAGGGCAGGGCCGAAGCTGCCCTTTGCCCCCAGCGCAGGCACATCTGGACCCCTCTGGATCCCCATCCGGCTCCACCTCGACGTGGTTGTCAAGGAGACAGCAGAGTCGGGGCTGGAGTTGTCATGTTCTTCTCTTGGGCAGGAAGAGGGCAACATGACCCTGCGATGCACCAAGCCCGCGGGGCACTGGAAGGTAGGAAGAGGCACGGGGGTGTCTGGGAAGTGGGGGGTGCAGGTCCAGGAGAACCCCCATCCCCACCTTCACTGAATCCCCACTTCACCTCGTGCGGGGGGGAGATGGTGCTGTGAGGGCTCATGTCACAGCGGATGGAACCGATGCTCAAAGAGGAGAAGGGACTTGCTCGAGGTCACACACAGGGCCTTGAACTGAACTGGGGTCTTCCGGTCCCCGAATTTAACCACGACACTCCCCGGCAGAGATGGCGAGCCGGTGATTGCACAGTCTTCGGCATTATTTCTTTGACTTCCCCTGTGGTGTTTGTTTTTTTAAAAACCGAACCTTTACATTTGTCATCTGCTTTTAAAATTTTGGAGGGTCCATGGGGAAGTCCCGATTTAGTGATTGTTCAGAGATGGGAAAGTCGGCCTGCATTCCCAGGTAGCAAGAATAGGAGGCGCTGTGCAGAGGCCAAGCATTTACACGGGGCCTTTGCCCGCCTTCCCTGCCTGGCACCTGGAGAGGCATCTGAGTTTGCAGTCCCCGCTCTCTCTGTCCCGCCCCATTGTGAGTCCTGGGGGGGGGGAGCCCCTAACCCTTCACCCCTTCACCCCCGTAGGCTCCACCTTTTCTCTCTGCTGCAGATTGTGATGTGGGACCAGGAGGGCTTCCAGGGCCGGCGGCAGGAGTTGGCCGCCCAGTGCCCCGGCGTGCTGGAGCTGGGCTTTGAGGCCGTGCGGTCTCTCAAGGTGCTGAGTGGAGCGTGAGTTGGGAAGGGGACGGGCTCTGAGCCAGGGAGAGGGAGGCAGGAGGGGATGGAGCGAGGGGGGCTGGGACTTTTAGGGGTTTCAGGCCCTGTCCCCAGGCCCTAACTTCCCAATGGGGCTGACGTGCTGGGGTAGATTGAGTAGCGCCCAGATGTAGGAGGCGCTACTCACATAGATCCTGCCCACTGCATGAGACACAGGGCGGGGGCTGACCTTGAGAATGGAGCGCAGGGACTGAAAAACCCCTCTTAGGCATAAATCTACAAGCAACATCATTTGCCCCAAATGGAAGGTAACTATAAAAACATAGTAAAAAAAAAAATGCTATTAATCTTTAGCGGAACATTGTTGCCTGACTGCGGCTGGGAGCATGAGCTATGTGTCTGTTTTTTCTAAAGAGATTGACGAGATGTACAAAGGCGTTAAGGACACCCCGATACCGCGACAATGAGCCTGTTCAGACCAGCACCGTCCAGTGGGACGTGCTGTCGTGATCAAAACAGCGGACATCTGCAGCCGGTTTGGGAACCACGGGCCGCTTATGGTGTGGAGGGCTGGGACTGAAGCTACCGGGATCAAAGACCTGAAGCTTTGATTTGGCTAAATGTATGTTTAATTGGCAACATGTGGCTAATGGCTACCATGTTGGGCAGAAGTTTCTAGAAGGCTGGGAAGTAGACGGAAAGGAGTCATTTCACGCTGTGCCTGTGAATGCCACCGAAGGCCACGCTGAGTGGCATTTTTGCATCTCACACCACGGTTAACACTTTCAGTAGAACATTCTGCTCCGAGCAGGTGGGGGCCTGGGGCTCAGACGGGAGCAGTGACCTGGGCGGGGATATGGCCAGCAGGCCAACAGATTGGGCCGGCGAGAAGGCAACAGGCTCGGGTGGACTCCGGCAACGGATCCCTTACATACACAGCCAGGGCGCGGCCAGCTTGGTGTCAGCCTCCTGGGCCCCTCGTCCCATGGACGACGCCAAAAACAACGGGTCCTATGCAAACACCCTCCGCTCCCTCCTCCTGGGATCAGGACTAAAAATGCCTCCTGACTTTGCTGAATGCCTCCCCGGGGCCAGAGCCCCCCCTGCAGGACAACCCTGGGCCTAGAACTCTGGGGAGGGGGCTCGGAGCTCTTGCCCTCTGTCTGTCCGCAGGTGGGTGGGCTTTGAGCACCCCGGCTTCCAAGGGCAGCAGTACGTGCTGGAGCGGGGCGAGTACCCGTGCTGGGGCGCCCGGAGCGGCAACAAGGCCTACCCCTCCGAGAGGCTCGCCTCCTTCCGGCCTGTGGCCTGTGCTGGGAGTCCCGCTCCCCCTGCTCCCAGGGGGCCCCCTCCGAGCTCCTCCAGCAGGGGCTTGGAAACCTTGGGAACCGGATGTCCCAGAGTTCAGTGTCTCAGGTCCCTTCTTCAAACTGTGGGACGTGGCAGTGCCTCCCCTCTCTGAGCCTCGTTTTTTTTTCATCTTGCAATGGGGCCCTAGGATTTCTGTTGTGGGAGGAGGAATGTTCAGCATCTGGCCAGAAGCCGCCACAAACATTCCATCCATGGCCGCTTTGTTTATGACCTGAGTCGTCTTCTTCTTCTTTTTTTTTTTTAAAAAAATATGTTTTACTGATTTTTTAACAAAGAGGAAGGGAGAGGGATAGAGAGTTAGAAACATGGATCAGCTGCCTCCTGCACACCCACTACTGGGGATGTGCCCGCAACCAAGGTACATGCCCTTGACCGGAATCGAACCTGGGACCCTTCAGTCTGCAGGCCGACGCTCTATCCACTGAGCCACACCGGTCGGGGCGACCTGAGTCTTCTTTTTAGGACTCAGGGATGCTGGGATGAGCCGGGTGGGGAGGCGGCAGGGCCAGGTGGGGAGGACGGGCCTGGTTTCCTCCTCCTGGTTTTCTGCTTTTCCTGCTGGTTATGGGGTATGGGTGCAGGTGGCCATTACTGTCCCCATTTTCCAGATGAACAAAAAGGAGGCTCTGAAAGGTGTAATTTTTTTGTTCTTCAAAAGCAACTTTTATCGATTTACAATCACACAAGCCACACCTATTGATCGTCTCAAATTCAGGAAAAACCCTGAGATGGCGGAATAAGAAAATCAAAACCACTCATACCCATACCTCTGAGGTGGACGCCCACTGTTTACAGTGCTCGGCACTTCACAACCTATATCTATATATCTACCCACACATAGCATTTTGTTATAAAAACTGAGTCATAACAAACCAAAGGCTGGGAAACCAGCTTTTCTCACTGGGCAGATATAGCACAGGGATCCTCCCGGGCGATTCGATCTAATTTATAACATCCTGTCCCATGGCGCCCTAGGATTCCATTTTGCAAATAGGATCATCTGTCCATTCATTCCTCGAACGGCCCAGGCCCTGTGTCACGACAGGGACCCACGGTGGACTCTAGCAGATGCAAACACCGCTTTCACACAGTGTACAACTTCGCGTCTCACTTACGCCCCAGAAACACGTCTCACTTACGCCCCAGAAACAACCCTGAAAAGCAGATGTGGTTAGTTTCCGTTTATGGGTTTGGAAACGGGCTCAGAAATGCTGTGTGACATATCTAAGCTCAGTCAGCTGGTAAGCGGGGAGCAGGATTCGAACCCAGACCTCAGCACCTATTGTTGGGTATTCAAGTTGTCTTCTCTTTTTTTCTTTCCCCTTCCTCCCTCCCTCCCTCCCTCCCTTCTTTCCCCTTCCTTCCTTCCTTCCTTCCTTCCTTCCTTCCTTCCTTCGTTCATTCCTCCCTTGTCTTTCTTCTTTCCTTCCTACTATTATCACCAAGACTTATTTATTCCATGATTATTTTTGTGCAAATTTCTGAAAGGGCAAATGGAATACCTCCTGTAAGGTTTCTGGAGCCTGTTGTTGCCTTATTGCCCTTTCAAAAGAGTTGCGAGAAAGGCTGATTTGGAGACAAGGGTGGGGGCGGGGTGGGCAGAGGAGGCAGTGCGCCCGAGGGTCTGACCCTGCGCCCTGTGCCCACAGAACCACCGGGACTCGGGACTCGAGGCGGACCATCTCTGAGCAAGAGAACTTCCTGGGCAGGAAAGGAGAGCTGAGTGATGACCATCCCTCCCTCCAGGCCCTGGGATGGGACGGCAAAGAAGTGGGCTCCTTCCGCGTCCAGGCGGGGGCGTAAGTGCATCCCAGGCTCTGCCTGGCAGGGACGGCGAGGGGGTTGGGAGGGTTAGGGACACCTCCTGGGACAACCATGGATCTCTGGTCTTTGTCCCCACCCCGGGCCTCTCTAGGGTAACAATCTGCCCTTTCCCCTCCTCAGCTGGGTCTGTTGCCAGTTCCCCGGCTACCGGGGTTTTCAGTACGTGCTGGAGTGCGACCACCACTCAGGGGACTACAAGCGTTTTCGAGAGTGGGGTCCGCATGCCCAGACCCCCCAGGTGCAGAGTGTCCGCAGGATCCAGCAGTGAGCAGGGCCCCCTACCCCCCGCGCTGAGGGGGGGACCCCACGCTTGTCTGGACCAGAGGAGCCTGGAAGCTGTCACCTGCTCTTTTCTCCGCTCCCAGCCCCTGCGATCCCAAGTGAACCCAGCCCCCATGTGAGCCAGTCCATGCACGCATAGTCAGCACAAAAAACTAAAATAAAAAAGTAATCCAAAAGGTTAGCTCGTGCTCTTCAATTTTATGAATCCTTTGAAAGCCCCGATTTTTAGCTTTGTTAATTGCCTCTGTCATCTGTCTGTGTTTTCGTTCACTGAGTTTTGCTCTTTAGTATTTTTTTTTTCCTTCTATCGACTCCGGGCTTACTTTGTTTTTACTAGATTTTAAAAAAAATTATTGATTGATTTTTAGAGTGAGAGGAAGAGAGAGAGAGAGAGAGAGAGAGAGAGAGAGAAACATCGATGTGAGAGAGAAATCTTGATCCGCTGCCTCCTGCATGCCCCCTACTGGGGATCAAGCCACAATACCAGGAATATAGTTGGCAACCTTTCAGGGCACGGGCTGATGCCCAACCAACGGAGCCACACCGGCCAGGCTATAGATTACCTCTAACGTCATAAGCCATCTGGCTCCTTTTCCGCACTGCCTTCCTCTACCACAGTGAGTCTCGTAGAGACAGGAAGGGTGGGGTCCTGAACAGCCTGCCCCTGCTAGAAAAGATAACCTTATCTTTTCTCAGGAAAGGAAGGGATGTGTTTAGGAACATTTGCACTTAATTGTTAACTCCCCATTGTATCATCCCATTCATTCAAGTGATCCTATCTGCCCAGGACCCACTGAGCACCAAGCCCTGGGAAATGATGAGCAAGATGCATAAAGTCCTTTCCCCACCCAGTCAGATGGGGAAGGCAGATGTGTCTGTGGTGGATGGCAACAGAACTGTGGGGGAGGGAGCGTGGGGGCTGTAGGGCTGCGAGAGATAAGAATGGGCTTGGGAGCCCGGCCAGTGTGGCTCAGTGGTTGAGCGTTGACCCACGAACCAGGAGGTCACAGTTCCATTCCCAGTAAGGGCACATACATGCCCGGGTTGTAGGCTGGATCCCCAGTACGGGGCATGCAGGAGGCAGCCTATCGATGAGTCTCTCTCATCATTGATGTTTCTGTCTCTCTTTCCCTCTCCCCTCCTCTCTCTGACATCAATAATAATAATAATAATAATAATAATAATAATAAAAAGAATGGGAGAGGCAGGGAGGCCGATTCTCCTTGGTGTTTTTCTCACTATGGGTTGAATAGGTGTTGGAAGAGCATTAAAGAGATAATGGGGAAAATGCTGGGTTCATGCTCTCCTTTTAAAGAATTAAGAAAGTAGCCCCTCACACTTTAGTCTGAATAAAGGAGGAGCATCTCACCTATCATAGGAAAGCCTTGGATCCCTGGGAACAAAGCAGGCAATATTTTCTGAATGAATGAATGAACAAATGAACGAATGAATGAATGAGGGAGCCTCATTGAAATTGGATGGCGGCCTTATTAAGGGCCAGCCGCAGAGAGAGCCGAGAGTGAGGCTGGCAGCCATAAAAAATGGGACCCCAGATGTGTGCTGATGGCTGGAGTGACAGGCAATAAAAAGATGATTTGTCAGGGGCGATTTCGGGAGGGGAGGAAAGAGAGCGTGAAATTATTTTTTATATCTTGCCAGGAGACCAATTTTCCTGGGTTATAAAGGAAAGGGAACTTGAATTATTGATGGGATTTGTCCAGAAGTAAGTGGTAAGCACGGAACACCCATCATCCAGAACACTGCCCTCAGCCAACAGGACCGATCACAGGGGCCGGGCTGTCAACCCCGAACCAGCGTCCCCTTGGCCCAGAGGGGGCAAGGCACTTGCTCAAGGCCACACAGCAAACGTGATCCATGCTGCGGCTGCTTCCAGCCTCATAGCCCAGCTACTCACTCACTAGTGGCAGAGACGGCGACGACCATTTGGAGTCGCACACTCACCTGGGTCTGAATCCAGGATCCATCCTGAACTTTCTGGATAGGACGACCTTCAGGGGCCTCTTGGCCTCAGTTTCCTTGTTTCTTCAAGGAGGGGCCGTTGTGAGGGTCAAGGACCACAAAGGTGCTGTGAAAAATAAGAGGTGACATGATGTGTGGCTTCTCTGTCTTCTCCATTCTCTCCCTCTTCTCTCCCTCTCCGGCCCGCTCCAACCGGCTGTCCAGCTCTCTCTCTCTCTCTCTCTCTCTCTCTCTCTCGGCCACATGGTCCTCTCACCAGGGCCTTGCTGGTCACTCCCCCAGAAGCGAAGAAGCTGTGACAATGATGGTGGTGGACATGGTGGAATAAAAGGAGGTGAGAAGTTAAAGATCTCACAGCATCTTGGGTGTGTTTATGAGTGGGAGGGAGAGGGAGGGGGAGAGAGAGAAAGAGAGAAAGAGGGAGAATAGCTCTTCCTGCGCCCCTTCGAGAAGTGGCTGAATGGAACAGCTATTATTACTCACAAGGACCAAAGCACTGGTGATTACTGTAATCACAGCCCATCGCCACAGCCCTTTGTAGAAAAGAGAAAGAGGCAGCGTCCACTGAGTGTCTACTTTGCACTGGGCCCAGGGCCAGGCGCTCACACATCCATTATGCCCGAGCCTTCGCCGCCAGGGGCAAGGCCCGCGTCCCCCTAACAGCGGAATGAACAAGGGAGGCCCCCACCTGGCCCCGGGGAGAGAGGGGGTGAGTCTTGCACAAGCCAGAGCTGTGGGTGGTGAATCCCCACCCACCCATCCTACTTCCTGGGGCCTCTGTGTACAGTTGCCATAATTACAAGATTAATGGAGGGGAAATATCTCCCAGGTGGGGAGGCCCTTGCTTCCTTCCTTCCTTCCTTCCCTGCCAGGTGCTCCTGAATCTGCTCTTGAAGCAACCCACCAGGGAGGCAGGCCTGGGGGTTGTGGGGGTTTCCTCCTAGGCGGGCAGTCAGTCGCTTTTAGGCTTTTAGCCTCCGGGGATCTTCAGCAGCTTCTGGGAGGAGTCCCAGTTTTTAGTTTAAAGAATCACCCCGCCCCTCTCCTAGAATCAATGAATCCAAAGGGGTTGAACGAGGTTGCGTTGGTGGTATAGTGGTGAGCATAGCTGCCTTCCAAAGGGGTTGAACGACCCTGATTCCTTCCGGAGGCAAAGACCTGACCCAAGTCTGGCCAATAATAGTCACCTGGGCTGGGCACATGACCCGATTTAAGCCAACGAGAATCAGCTCTGGAATTTTGGTTGGAACCACCTGGCAAGAGAAGCGCTCCACGAGACAGGGTGTAAGCTTGGGACGTGCAGCTAGAGGCGGCCTGGAAACAGAACCAATGAGGGGAAGGCCGGGGCCTGAAACAGAAGGCGGCTAACCCTCCCCACACGTGGACACCCACGTGCTTTCTTATCACATGGGCAAAAGCATCCTCTCCCCGCTTCTTTTTGGCTTAAGACATTTCAAGATGGGCTGCTGTTCTTTTATATTTTAAAAGGTCCTCCTACTCCCCTAAACCCACTGAGGAAACAAAGAGCTTATCAGTTCCCCGCCTGCCCCCAGCTAGGGGCCCCGGTGGCCTTTCCTTCCAGAAGGGCGGGCCTCCCCCCCAACGCCCCCCACCACCCACTCCCACCCCACGCCCCCGCCCCATAGATCAGAAGCTCTTGATCCTTTACCCTTTGCCGGCTCTTGGTGTTAATGGCCCAGATCATTCTCCATGCCTGTCTCCGTTTCCTCTTGCTCCAACAGGCATATTCACCCCCTTGCTCAGACGAGAAGACTGAGGCCGAGAATGGCAAGTTGATCTGCTCACGTTGGCACAGAGAACCCGGGGCTCCCGAATCTCTCTCCAGGGTTCCTCCTTCTAGCCCCTGGGGGCGACCCTGCCGAGCATGAGGCTGATGGCTTTGCTGAGGATCAGTCAAAAGCTTGGCACCAGCTCCCGGAGGTTTCTCAGGCCCATCCCGGCCCCGCCCACCACCAGGCCGCTCAGGTGCATGGGTTGTCTCCGGTTCTAAGAAGCCGCCTCCTGAGACTTGTGCTGCACCGCCACCTGGTGGTGACACAGAAATACACCTGCTGTCAGAAAATGATTATTCTGGGAACCCTGGGAAGGGAAAGATGAAGATGGGATCCCCCTAGCTGGTTTGGCTCAGTGGGTAGAGCATCAGCCTACGGACTGAAGGGTCCAGGGTTTGATTTCTGGTGAAGGGCACAGGCCTGGTTGCGGGCTCGATCCCCAGTAGGGGGCGTGCAGGGAGCAGCCGATCAATGATTCTCTCTCATCATTGATGTTTCTACTTCTCTCCCTCTCCCTTCCTCTCTGAAATCAATAAAAATATATATATATTTTTTAAAAAGAATGGATCAGTGGGCCAGTTTCTGAGAAATTAGAGATATGAGATGTGATGAGAGGGCCTGAGATTCCTTCTGTGTTCTTAATTCTTGCCACAACAGTGTCCCTGTACATCTAGTATAGTTTCTTTTCTTCTTGCCGACGTTGGAAACTTAGGAAATTAACTGCCTTCTCTTTTTTCATTGGCCGCCAGGATGCTCAGAGCCAATGTCCACAGGATTATTAGCAACTGGATGGAACCGTGTGGCAGGCACTTGGAACGCCATTCCTGACTCCATATTCCTTCCTCTGGCCTGAACTTTCTATCTTATTTGATATTTAGATGCTGAGGGCATCTTCATAAACCACATCAAACCCCCTCCTTTAGGAAAAAGAGAAAAAAGAAGAAGAAAATATCCTCTTTTTCGTGGGAACAGGAAGAACAAATCAGGGTTATCCCTTCAGAAAGACCTTGCCACATTCTGCAAGCCTCAGTTTCCTCTCCTGTAAAATGGGCATAGAGAATGTGCCGTTCTGCAGGGCGGCTGCGGCGTGGCCATGGCCGTGTGGGGGTGGGATGGCTGTATTCGATGAAGCCGCGGGAGGCAGGGAGGACTGCACAGGGGCTCAGGCAGGGGATGATGTAATGGGGCCAGGGTCGGGTGGGGGCTCCGTGAG